GCGTTGTTGCTCCTCATGGTATGTCCTCTCCTGAAGTGACATTTGTGTGGGAATGCCAGAGGGTGCCCGACATATCCTGGAGACTCTTCTTTGGTGTCTTAAACAACTCTAAGTTATAAGAACTGATATGCAGCAGCAGTGAGGAGATGGCATAGTGGGGGGGTTTGCTTCTTTTTAGTTAATAACACAGGTTAGTTTCTAAAACAACTTTACTGGTGCTACTTCGATATTAAATGGACTAAACATTTTCAAGGTTCTCTTGTTTTAAAATGGAAATCTTAATGGAAAAGAGCTCTTTTAAGACACTGCTGCTAATTTATAAGTAATGATGTCTGTAACTGGGAATTTCCTAGTGTTAATTTTCCTTTTTGTGTTGAGTTGTAGTTGCAAAAAATTCAGACGGAGAAGAGGGGAAATTGCCAAGTTAAAAGTGCTCATGCTCTTTGTCTTCTGCCAAGAGTGGATTTTTTATCCCAGTGTGGAGAAGGGGGGAATCTACAAGTTATAAGCTGAGATTTTCAGCTTTACATGAGGAAAGGGAAGAGCTTTGGCTACCAGTAAGTTGTAGCCCCGTCTCAGATCCTTCTCCAGGAGCACCTAGAAGACCAGTCCAGTCTTTAGTGAACGTTGTTGGGCCTCAGACTGTGTCTGGGGGGCTGTTGAGCCATGGCCTTATGAAATCTTTATATTCTGGTTGACGGCCTGATGTGGGTGACAGGTAATTTGGAGACAAACAGCCTGAGATCTGTTCCTGAGTTCAATTTGGCCATTTAACTTGCCCTGGAAATAAATGTTTTGGAACAAGAGTAGTGAAATAGGATAAAACATACTCGATGGATTTACTCCTTTCTGCTCTGTGGGCTTTGTATTGCTGTTGTGATTCTTACCTTCTTCCAAGTGTATCTGCTGTCTATACCTTATTTAACTTTTTTTTTTTTTTTTTCCTCTGTAGAGATTCATCTTTGCACAGGAATATATTCAGCAGTCTGTGTATCTCTCAAAGACTATTTTTGGTTAGATGGCACTTATTCACAGAAATACATGAGAGTGCTTTAGAGCCTCATGTATTTAAAAACAGTATCAGTAGCTCCTGGTCATGTTCCTTTAACTGAGCATCTTCAAATAATCTCATTCTACTTACGTTTTTCCCTTACCAAATACTGTTCTAACCCTTAACAGTTTGCAGTAAGTGGCAGCTGGGGCTGGAGCGATAGCATCGTGTGACGGCTTCAGCCCATGGGCCACCCTGCGTATGTGGCAATCCAGAAGTCCCTGTTGTCCTGGCTGTAGCACTTAGCTTGAAGGGGAGCTGTGGTCTCTTCTCCTAAACTTGGCTCTTGACCTATTCTTACCTCTTCACCTCCTGTTTCCCAAGGCAGGGTAATAAAAGCCGTGATATAGCGTTAAAATGTTTTCCATGAGAACCGACCCATTTAACTGACTGCAAGTTTGCAAGTGCTGCAAGTGTGTGGGATTAACCCTCCTCTTGCCCCTGGAGCAGCCGAATAACCAACCTCCAGCAGCGCTCACTGGACCAGGGTGACGCTGCAACTGGAAAGACTTAGAATCATGGAATCATTATGATTGGAAAAGACCTTAAGATCATCAGGTCCAACGTAAGCCCCTCAACACCATCCTGCTACACCGTGTCCCTGAGTGCCTCATTTACACGTGTCTGGAACACTGCCAGGGCCGGCGACTCCACCACTTCCCTGGGCAGCCTGTGCCAGTGCCTCACTGCTCTTTCCATGCAGAAATTCTTCCTAATGTCTAACCTGAACCTCCCTGGTGCAGCTTGAAGCCGTTTCCCCTTGTCCTGTCCGTAGCTATTCTGGAGATCGACCCGCACCTCACTAGGACCTCCTTCAGGTGGTTGTAGGAGCGATAGGGCCCCAGCGCCCAACCCTCCCTGTGGCGAGGGCCCAAACCTAACATAGGATCCGAGGGGCGGCCGCTCGCTGCTGGCTGCACCGCTCCTCACACAGGCCCTGCTGCCCTTGGCCTCCCCAGCCAGCCGGGCCTGCTGCTGCCTCGTGTTCCCGTGCCAGGATGAACATGAGAGCGCTCGCAGCAGTGTCAATCTGGAGCTCCTCCGTTCCTGTTGTGCAAAAGGGAGCTGAAAGAACACAATAATGGTCTTGACACCAGCTGGGTTCTTGGCGCTAGCAGCCGCCGCCTGCGCTCTTCTCTGTAGAGCTGCTTTTTCACTCGTGGATCCAAACGCAGCTCTTCTGTCTCGCTAGTGAATAACGTTCTGGGAGGACGCTTGATTTTGACAGCGACGCAGGCCGCGTCTGTTGGTGTCGTTGCTGCGGCTCCACACTCTTCCTGATGACTCTTGGCAAAAAACAAAAAAATGCTTTCTATTTTGGTTTCTAGTCAGTGGTAAATGCTAATAATGGTGGTATTTTGGGTTGGTTATCGGCTGCTTCAATCTGTGTAACAGCTAGAGAAACAAAGGTTGTGAATTCATTTCTTTTAAAAAAAAAATAACAATCTTTTGGGGAACCCTTCAGATGCCGTCCTAAGCAGCAGCTGCTGGCAGTGTGTTTTCAGGGTTGCCTTATGCAGGTCGCCAGGGAAAACGATGGAGTATTTTGCATTATGCGCGTGGCTGAAGGCAGGTTGTGCGCTGGTTCCCGTTGCGCGACCCGGCTGCTCAGCTGAGCAGCCTCGGCCGGAGCCCTCCGGGTGCTCCGTGCGGGAGGTTTCCGCGTTTGCCGAGGGCGGTTGTGCCTCTTCCCCAGCTTTGATAAACCGGGGGGTATTTCAGGCCGCCGGAGGTGCCGGCAGGGCTGCGGGGAGAGCCGGGTCATGTTCTGTGTCTTTGAGAATTCTGAAATGGGGGGACTTGTTCTTTGAGCACACAAATGGTTTGGGTGTCCTGTTTGGTGGCCTGAGGCTTTGGTTGTGAGTTTAATTTCTTTTTTATATTTTTTTTCCTTCCCCACTTACGTTTGTAGTTTTGGCTGTTTCTGCTGGAGGACTGCTGTGTTTCTTTAGCCTAGAAATGAAAATGTCTTCCAAAAGCAGCACCAGCTCAGTTTACTCACTTTTTTTTTTTTTCCCCTATTTCCCCTAGCTTTCCAAATATACCAATAAGAGCTTGAATGATGTGAGGAAAACCTCTGGCCTCTCCTGCTCCTGCAGGGAGCTGAAAGCTCGAAGGCTGCCCTGAGCTCACCTTGCACCACTGCCCTGGTGGCTTCCTTAGCAGGACCTGGCCGTGGTGGCAGCTCCTCCTGGTCTCTCACCTTCACAGCCCCCTTCGCTCTGGAGTTGCCTCTACCTGTTTCTTTAAGAGCTTCTACAAGATGGCTAAAAACAGTGTAGAAATGAAAAATATAGAAATAAAACATTGATATTGCTGGAGAAGGTTTTGAATACAGAATTTCTGTAGGCTATTTAATGTACAGGAACGATCTCTGGGCATGAGTTCTGACCTGTAGCTGGGTGGCCCTTGCAGGGCTGGGACGCTGTTTCGAAGAGCAGTGTCTTGCGATTAGTCAATTTGAGATTTTGGTTGCACAAATCTCGTTCGTCTCAGATAATCTTTTTTGCCAGTTCACCAGACAAACTGTACTTGGGCAGTTCAGCAGTGCACGAGTTTTAGGAGAAACATGTGCCAAAAGAAGCAACTTTTTATCTTTACCTCTCCCTCCAGAGAGTGGACTTAGCAGATAACTCTTATCTTGCAGGAGCTTCTGTTTAGTAGTTAGATGCCTCTTAAAAACCCCTATCCTTTTGGAGAAAGACACACACAAGGTTTCGTTTTTGTGTGTTTGCGTATCATGCAAGAGGGTTTTACCCCGTTGTCAACAAAATAAAGGTTTAAGAGCCACGCGGTGACGGTTTTGGGGACGCAGGAGATGCCATGCGCGGTGCAGCTAGGAAAATCAATGCATCAAATGCTGTGGAAAGCAGATGGATATAATATGGAAGATGATAGAAACTGCTTAAATAGGACGAGTGTATTTTATGTTATTTTAATATTTTTAGCATATTTTATTTTAGGGATGAAAGGAGAGCTGTGACCTAGTGTTACCTTGCTGAGGGCCGGTCAGTTTCTCCCCTCGTGAAGCACGGACTTGCTGGGCGACTGTCCTGGCAGGCGCCCGCGGAGCGTCTCGGTGGGCACGCGATGCCGGTGGGGTTTGCGGTGCCAGCGTTAGGAAACAGGCTGGGAAGCCCTTGGGCAAACGGAGCCGCGCGGCTCTCCGGGTGCGGACGTGGGAGCGCTGGGAGCCGGGCAGGAGCGCTCCCCGTCTTGCCCCTCGCAACTGTCGGTGCTGGAGCAGGGCAGCAGGCTCCGAGCAGGGCAGGCAGTGGAGAGGTTTTTCCTGCTTCTTGGGTTTTCCACCTCTTTGCCAGGTTGTTCTAGCCTTTCCAGCGCTGCTGTTGGTGTGCCCAGCACTGGCAGCCCACAGTGATTGAGAGCTGTCATTTGGGATCAAGCCCTTCACAGGATCATCGTCACCTGGGTCACTCCTCCAACAGGGCTTCGGCTTCAGCAGATCCTTAGGCACTAATTAAGGCTCCCTTCTTTATGCATTTGTTGTTCTGTGCCAGTGCGTTTTTCCACCCCTTTGGTCTTGCTCCTGCTTGGAGAATAAAACACGTCTCTGTTTTCAAGGTGTGAGTTGAGCTGCATTTAGGTGTGTTTCCAGAGCGCCTTTCCCTGCTCTTTAACCTGCGCTTGGAGGGCTCTGTAAATAAATGTTTAATTCAGGAAATGCCTTAAATATGTCAAAGCCAAGAAAACATGTGGAAAAACACATTTCCCAGTAAAGCTGTGTTGCTTGGCCGCAGAGTAGTGCATACTTTTCAGTAATGTTTAATATAAATTTGCAAGTTTGTAACTGTGAATTTGTCTTCGGGGTCAACTAAGTGCCCGACTGCTTCTAGTTAGTTTTACGTGGGCTGAGGCTCCTGCCTTGCCCAGGAAAGCGCTACAGCTCCACTTGAGGTTGTTCTCACGTGGTTGCGTTTCCTCCTGCGGCATGTCAGGTCAGCAATAAAAAAAGAGCTCGTGTCAGCATGGAAGACGGTCTGCAAAGAGTGTGAGGGGATATTAGTGGTAAGCAATAAAGCTGTGAGCTCAGCAAAGTGTATTGGCCTCTTATGTTCACATATTAGTAGGGTAAATAATATATCTGTGTGTGTCTGTGTTTATGTATACACACGTGTGTGTATATAAAAGCAAATACCTGCGTTAAGTGATGCAGTACTTCTTCGTTAAGTGACCTCATCTAAAAGGTGCTGCAGCTCAACCACGAGTCTTGAGCATGTTACAGAAAGGAGCAAACTGGGTTTGTGGGTTGCTGACTGAAGAGCTTCTTACAGGGAAGACTGTTATGAATGGGAATGAAAACCAAAGGCCAGCGACTTCTTGTGCCATCTGCTGCTTTTATGTTAGAGGCACACAAATATATCTGATGTAAGAGCTGCCAATGATCAGAGCTGCTAGGTTAGGAAGGAATAACAGGCCATGTAACTGGGAATAGAGGAAAAGAGGGGCATTTAGTTTGCAGCTTGTGTGTGCGAGGAAAGGGGAAACACAGTTCTACCTTTCCTGGGTGAAGAAAACGTATGTGCCTAGAAAGAGACCATCTGTCAAGCTGAAGGGGACCTGAGCAATCTGTTCCTGAAGGGATCCCACATGGAGTGATGTGAAAGGGACCTCTCTAATTTTATATGAACAAGCTATACTTATCTATATGCATCTTACAGACTACTGATGGGGAAAAAAGCTATTTTTCAATGGTCGGCTGCTTTGAAATCCCTGTCTGTGCGTACACTGTATGCCTGGGAGCACATCTAAGCCTTGTGCCATTCCTTCCCCCAGGTATTGACTACAAGACGACAACTATTCTTCTGGATGGCCGACGAATCAAGCTGCAGCTCTGGTAAGCATGTTTCATGTTTGCTCATAAATTATATTGCAGAGAGGCAGAGGTTGCACCTCTTCAGGGCAGGAATCCTCCTTTGTGCTGCAAAAGGACTTAGGCAAGTGAGGAAGAGCGATCCAGGTAGTAGTGCTCCCATTTTAAATGGGGAACCCTAGAGATTCCTTAAGTGAAATGCATAATAAATGCAGAAGGAAGGTGCAAAACATTGAAGGTTACTTAGCTATGCCTATACTGGTAACAAGGACCATGAAACTATTTTTAAAAGCACACAGTATTGGTATAGCAGCAGTTCTCAGTTTACTAGTAATGGTGGTCAGGCTGACAAAAGTGCCACAATGCTAGAATTTAAATTCAAAAAAGCAGTGTTGTTACTCATGATGGCTTAAAATTATATATTTTAATTGATACTCAGTCCAATTTGCTATGATCAAATAAAAAAAAATGTGAAGAATGATTAAGCATTTTGCAACAAAGTGATACACCTTGAAAGATGCAGTAATATTGTTGCCTCTTAAATAGACTGGGTTTTGTCTTCCCTAAACTCAGGGCTCAAAAAAAGAGGGAGAAAAGGGTTAGTGCAGGATGGGAAGGTGAGGGGATATGGGTTGAGGAGCCAGAATCTAGAAGAGGCAGAGGGGCAGGTCTAGGAACAAACAGTGTCCAGATAGGACCGCGAACTGGAGGGGAGCGTGAATTGTTATTTGGATTGTACCTTTATATATAGATATAGATATATACACACATATAAATATATAACTATGTATGTGTATATATGTGTGTGTGTGTGTGTGTGTATATATACATAAATATATATATATATAAATATATATATATACACACACACACCTTTTTTCGTGCTTTAAAAATGTAGACTGTTTACCTCAGATTTCACTTTAACGTTCATTCTTTGGTGCCTTTCTGATTGAAACATCTTTAAGTACTGGAGTTAGATGCCTGTGTTTTGCCAAAAGTAAGTTGTTTGAAATTTAGTCTTCTTTGATTTTGCTTTTAGGATTGTCAAAATAGTATAACAGTACTTTGCCATGTGGCACCAAAATGATATTTTGGTCAACTTTTTTTTCTTCTTCTTCTGTCTTCCACAGTATAGCTTAATAAAAATACCACACACAGCTTATCTGAGAAGCAGACAGGGAGGAGATGTTTTAGTTGTTTTAATGCCTTTTTTTGTGTGTGTGTGTGTGAAGGGAAAGGATGTTTTTTGAACTCCTCAGAATAACAGATTGTTTCTACAGTTTCTACAGTTCTACAGAAATGTTTCTACAGTTGACCATATGCGGAAATATGTGCCCTGCAGCTGAAGAGCTGTCATCTGCCTCAGCCTTCGGGGCTCTGTTTCTTGTATTCTGCATCATAAATTTGTTCCTGAACATTGTATGCAATGACTTTTGGTGTGCCATTTTCTACAAATCTGTTTGTGTTATGCTGTTTCTGCCTCTGTGAGAATGGCTTCTTCATATGAGGCTTATGATAAACTTCCATTGCTATAATCAGGAATTTATTGTTTTTCCAATAGTTTCCTTGGTGACAGCTGTTGTTGCCTTCCCCTGTTCTGCTATGAAAACACAATCTTTCTCTGAGATGAATTAAATGCCAAGTATTGTGGCGTATATATACTTAACTAATGACCTTTTTTTTCCCAGGGCAAGAATTTGAAGCTCCTGTTCTCTTACCATGAGAAATCAGAGAAATGTAGAGGGAAGAGCAGAACACTAGTGTGGGGAGAGGGAACTGCTGGAGCAAGAAGAGCTCTGGCACCTTGGGGGCAGTTAATCCCTATCCCTTCTTCCCTTAGTCATGCAGTAACAGAGATGGGTTGATCAAGCTGAACTCCTAGCATAGGCAGATGCCTTCTTTTAAAAATATATACAATTTATTTCGTTTAGGGATGCATCAGGGCAAGGGAGATTCTGCACCATATTTCGGTCATATTCAAGAGGTGCTCAGGTAAGCCAAGTACCACTTTCTGCTGTGATGAGTAATTGGAGAGTAATGGCTGTTGGATGAATGAAAGGAGCAGACTCTCATGATGGCTTCTGCAGTTTGCTCTCTCTTAATGTGCATGCAGATCCACCAAGTTCTGAAGATAATACATGCAGAATCAGAAATAACAAGGGGAAGGTTTCTTCTCCAGGGGGAGATGGAAATTGAACCACAGTGAAATACAGGGACATGTTCTTATGCCTTCTTGTTGGTTACTTCAATAACTTAAGTTTATTGTCTTACTTTGGTCTTGGAAATAAGCTAATTTGGCTTTTTAAGATCTTGTCTGCCCGGTAAGATAAATTGACAACCTAATGCTGTCAAGACAAATAGGAAAAAAATAATCGAGCCTAAATGTAACAAAGTGTAATGACTTGTAATTAGGTGAGTTAAAAGGAAAGGGAAAGAAGAAAAAAGTCAGAAAATGTTGCATGCCCTGAGTTATAGCAATACTTGGGTTTTGATAAGTTTCTTCCTTTATGTCCCGGGGCTGCACAGAGCTGCTGAAAGCCACCCAGACTTTGTATTTGCTATCACTTGTGATGGGTGGGTCAGCAACCACACCTGCCAGCTGGAAAAACAAATATTTGTGCATGTTTTAGCTCCCAACATGAAACTGGAGTTTCTGTCCCTTACTCAACTGGGAGAGAGGGCTTAGCTGACAGGATGTTGAGTTTCTGCTGCACTGAGAAACTGCTCAGTATTCTACAGGATTATTTTGGAATTGGAGAATTTAAAGGTGTAATTCTGTGTTAAACTCTTTTTTTTTTCTTTTCTTTTTTTTTTTTAATACAGGGTGTAATACTAGTGTATGACATTACAAATCGTTGGTCATTTGATGGCATCGATCGATGGATAAAAGAAATAGATGAGGTAAGGTAGAGTCCCCGAGCACCACTAGTCTGTACCAGGTGACTAAGACTGACTGCTCATAGCATTTTCTACTGTTTCTCCTGGCATTTTCAGGCAGTGCTTACTACAGAGTTATCCAAGATGCCAAGCTTACAAATTTGTTTCTATGTTTACTTTCTATGTTATACTTTTAGAAAGTTGGAAGCGTACCAGCCGAAGCGTCTGGTTTCTAAAGGTGTTAACAGAAAGCATATGGAGGGCAAAAATTTCAAGCTGCAGTCCCACTCTTGGTATAGATCTGCTACATCATCTGTGCAAGTCACTTCGCTGTGAGGAAGGAATGTTTTTAAATCAGAGAATCATTGAATAATTTATGATGGAAGGGACCTCTAGACATCATCTGGTCCAACCTCCCACTCAGTCTTCTATCTTGAAGAAGCTTTTGTTTGTTTTAATTGAGGGAAGTGGGAGACAGATTTTAATTTCTTTTTCTTGCTGTTGCTTCTTTTTTTCTCTCTCTCTTTGCTCAGCATGCTCCGGGTGTACCAAAAATCCTGGTTGGAAATCGCCTTCATTTAGCCTTCAAGCGCCAAGTGTCTACGGAACAAGCACAGGCCTACGGCGAGCGGTTGGGCATGACTTTTTTTGAAGTCAGCCCTCTTTGTAATTTCAATATTACAGAGTCCTTTACTGAGCTTGCAAGAACAGTGTTGATGAGACATGGAATGGAGAGGCTCTGGAGGCCGAACAAGGGTAAGGAAAGAACAGTGCACAATTACCTGTGCACTGTCTGCGCGGGATGTATTAACATGCATGTTTTCAAATGTTTGATTTTAAAGTAGAAGACACAGGTGTCCAAAAGCCTTAGTCTTTGGTTAAATGGGGTGTTTTCCTGACGTTTTTTCAAGGTGAAAATAACATGAAAAGACTAGGATTTGCTTTAGCATTTAGGAAGCAAGGCAACAGTAAAAAAATACAAAACAGCTAGAGAAGGCAACTGCAAACAGCTTTCTAGGACTGCGAGACAAGATGGATAGAAGTACAGGCTCAATGAAACTGAAAGCCAATTCAAAGCAAAATAAACATTTTCCACATAGGGGAAAATACCTTGGGGAGGCCAAGCCAAGGCCACTGAGAAAGGATTAGATAGCTGGATGCCTGTGTGGGCCTCAAAATATAAATAAATAAATAAATAAATAAATGCTTCACTTATTGTGACCATGATAGTCTAATATAATAAAACACCGGGAATGTTTAAATTGAGTTCTACCCAAGGTTTAAGTTTCATAAACAGAATTCTGGAAATTATTTTATATTACTTGACTGTGACCCCTGTACAACTTGCTCTCTGAACAGAAAGTATACAAAAGCAGGAACAGTTTTATTCCTGGATGTAGGGAATAAAAAAATAAACAAAAACAACTTTCCTAAAGGTTAATTCTGACTCGTGAATTCTGACACAAATAGGAAAGTGAAACACAGTTTTGGGGTTCTTTTCTTTCTTTTTTGGATAATGTGGGAAAGGCTGCAGGTGGAGAAATGAGGAATCTCCCTAGAAAAAGGAAGCGCAGGCAGAACGCTGGCTGTGCTGCCACCAGGTGGGTGACAAAAGCAAGCTGTTACAATGCAAGTTTTATGTCTGTTTTTAAGTACTGAGTCTGCAAGACCTTTGTTGCCGTGCCATAGTTTCCTGCACCCCTGTGCATCTCGTTGACAAGCTCCCTCTCCCTATTGCCTTACGAAGCCATCTCAAATCCTTCTCCATGGCCAACGGCCTTAATGCCAGGATGATGCATGGACGCTCGTACTCCCTCAAACCCAGCAACACCAGTAAAAGGAACAGCCTAAAGAAAGCTAAAATTGTCCGTCTACCGCAGAGCCCACCAAAAAACTGTACAAGAAACAGCTGTAAAATTTCCTGAGCCCTCTGTGGGAAAAGAAACCTGGATGGGATCCCCCCACATGGCGTGCAGAGCGCAAGGACTCTGTGTTCAGTAGCTGAGTGTGTTCTATGTGTGTATCACATTGCGTAGAGCAAAAAGAAGAAAAAACTAATTTCAGAGCTTGCTCGCAAAGGCAATGCTGCTTTGGGATGAATGGCATGTTAAGTGCACCTGAAAGGATGTGATGTTTTGCTGTTGGATTTTTCATACTGTGTTTTAGTTTTTGATGTGCACAATGCCATTGTTTTTACTAGCAGCTGTGTTTTTAAATAGGAAATAATATACTTATTTTGAGTTCTTTAACTACATGAAATCTGGAAAGTGACTTACTATGTATATAAAAACCTATGTATTTGCAAACTTTGTTCAAAAATACTAAAAAGAGTGTTTGGTTTGCATATGCAGGCAGAGATTTTTAAATGCAGCATATTGTATACATTGTAAATTCTACAAATAGTGTGAAAATTCTAGTAATGTTGCAGTTGTGCGTTTGGACCTTTTGTAAAGCTTCCTTGACAACCTTCAAGCACTAATTTAACTAAGCTAAAAATGTGTATATAACTGTTATGCACATACACAGCTAGGTTTTGTCTGATTAGTGTATAAAATAGATTTGATAAAGCTTTTGGTATGTTATTTAATACTTTGGGGGATTAATTCGTGGTTTACATACTTATTTTTCTGTAAAAAGAAATTCGACATTTTTATACTACTCTAAGAGAAAGTTCTAGAAAGAAAATGCCAAAGACACTATGGTAAAAGGAATGTGACTTTAAAGAGCTGCTTTATAAGAAAGAACACTATTAAAAAAAAACAAATAAATGTTTCTGGAAAAGAAATGCCAATTTAATTGGGAAGGTTGCCTTTATTTTCCTTCAGAAGCATTTTGAAGAACACTGTGCCTGAAGTCAACACCAGTAACATGAAGCCATCGTGATTATAAATGACCTTGTTGCTTGATTACAACATCTGTATTCAAGGCTGAAAACCGAAATTAGGACGAGCGATACGTGTTAAATCCTCTATTGATGGAAGAAGGGTGAGACTTACTCTCCTTAGAAACTGTTGCACTTGATCCCACCTTTCCTAGTGTGAGATACCACGGAGTGCCATTGCTGCATTATCCCCCCTGCTCGTAGGGAAAATCCTAACCCAGCAACATACTGAAGCGCACTTTACCTGAAAGAGCATCACAAGAGAAAAAAAAAACATGATTCATAATGAGTCTTCTCATTAATTAACAGGGGATGGCCAAAAAAAAAAAAATGCAAGGAAAGAAAGTTATTGATTGTGCCCTGTTAGTTCTACATATCCTCTATTGGGACTGGTAAAGACTATTTAATTATCCTTTCTAGTAGCTTCTAGTTAAAACACACCAGCCCGTTATTCGGGCAGTTTCAAAAAAAAAACATGATTCATAATGAGTCTTCTCATTAATTAACAGGGGATGGCCAAAAAAAAAAAAATGCAAGGAAAGAAAGTTATTGATTGTGCCCTGTTAGTTCTACATATCCTCTATTGGGACTGGTAAAGACTATTTAATTATCCTTTCTAGTAGCTTCTAGTTAAAACACACCAGCCCGTTATTCGGGCAGTTTCGGTGTTTATGAACGGCTGCCGCCCCCTTCGCGGCCGGTGTGTGTAGCCGCGCGCTCATGGTGCTCCTGGCCGTGCACACAGCCCGCGTGCTCGCCTGCTGGGGTCGGGGAATACACGTACACAGCAGCACCAAGCCACTACACACAGCTGGTGCACTTACCACCTACACCTGCTCGGTGCAAACAGCTGGTGTACGTGGCCAGTGCACTCAGCCTGGTGCTCACAACCATCCTGCTTACCTGGCAGGTGTGTCCAGGACACACAGCGAGCGCGCATAGCCAGAAAATACTTCCAGGGAGCTTCCCTGGTCCATGCAGCCAGCACGCTTGCCCCGTGCGCTTACTCAGCACGTGTGGCGGGCACACGTGTCCCCCGTGCAGGCGAGCTGCTCAACAGACCCACTCTGGGACCACATTTGCACTGCCAGCCCTTGTAGCACGTGTGCTGGGTAGAGTATAATGCTGTATTTTGAAATATGTAACCATATAACCACCACATAGCATCATATGTTAGATACACCTGCAGTCCCACACTGCAAATATCAAGCAGAAATTTGTTTAGAAAATGGGTAAATTGAAGAACTGACAAGCCTCGTTTATACTCCCTTTTAGTTACAAAGTGGTTCTTGTGAACCTTGTAGCTGATCTAAAATTCTAGGTGACTGCTTCTGTTGCTGTTACCTTAGTAAGTGGTGCCTAGGGCTGTTTGACTTTGTTTTTTTTTTCCTTGAAACTTTACAAATATTAATGGAACACTCCTAAAAATTTTAGGGCTGATAGTCTCAAAAGTTTAGAGACTGCTCTGCATCATGATGCCTCTTATCTCACCTCTTCTGTATCCCTACTACACATGATTGCTCACTGAATAAAATCTATTATATTTTTTTTTTTTTTTTTCTTCCTCCTCCCCCTTTCTGGCTGATTTGCATCCTTCGAGGATGGTTAAGACTGCTAATCACACAGGCAGGCAAGAACACGGTGCTAGTGCCCGGACAAGTTAAAAACTTCCTAAGTCTATTCACCCCCCACACACATATGCATATATATGTATATACACACACACATTTTTTATTATTTTTGTGAGAGAAAATTCACCATTCCTGTATAAAAATAGTACTGGCCTTATTCATAAGTGCCATTTTGTGCACTAGGCATAGAAGGCCATCATTTTGCAACGCCCTTTTGTCTTGCCTAATAATGTGCTTGCCCAAGACCGTCTTGCAGATTCAGTCACCACAGATGGTAGCTCGTTTACCTGCTGCTGGCACACCAGGATAACCCAAAAGCCATGTGTAAATGGGAGTTATCCTGTGGCTCTGACTGAGCATTGAAGTATCTCTGGTGCTGTTTTGTCAGCAGTAAATCAAGCCCCTAATGAAGGGGGCTTTCTGCTAGCCCTGCGCAGTGATGCCACCGACTTGCAAACAACATAATGGACTGGTGCCTTCAGCAACCCTGTTTGCACTTGTTTTCATCTTTTGTTTGCATCAGAGATGACAAACAGATTTGCAGGAATATGCTTCATTCCATGTCTTCAAGTGGCCATAAGGAAGCTGTAGTAATTGATACCAGCCCTGCAGTAGCACTGGGTTGTAAAGGAGCTGCATGAGACTGTAGATTTTTCATTCTACCTTAAGAACCTACTTTTAGTGTGAAAAACTTGCTATGTGTTACAAATGTCTGTAGCAGAAAATATAAATTTAATGTTTATATTGATGTGTAGAATCCAAAGTATTGGATTGGATCAATTGAGGAATTGATTTCTCTGGACTCTGCATGCTCTCTGATCTGAGCTTACTTCTAAAAATAAGCTTTGGTTTTTGTTTGCAAGCCCCGGCAGCTTTTTCTGTTTAGGAATGATGAATTTTAGGCTGTAGTCAGTAGGTTACCTTAATATGGATTTGAGCCCTTTTTAAAACATTCAAGAAAAGATAATTCAGTTGCCTAAAGAAGAGTAGACAAGAGGAAAAGCTCACTTCTTCCATGTTGCTACTACCAAAAATAGAAATATGAGTCATGTGAGTGCTGAAGCTTAATAGTGCGGGTGCCTATACTGTCACAATAACCTAATTTCTCAGTAATTTGAGGCCAGCCAATCCCATGCTGATGGGGTGATGGGAGGAATGATCTAATAGCTCTTTTCCACCCTTAGCTGCCATGACTGACAAGTGACGAAACTGGCATCTGCAGGTTTTCTGAAATGTGCTTCCCTTATTCTGGTTTGAGTAATACTATATTTTTATGCTAGGTACCCATGCCACTTCTGTAAAAGCGATGGCCTCCACTGCAAAAAGTTCTCGGAACATTCTGATTTGGTGTTCCTAATTTCCAGGTGCTGTGCTCCTGATTTCATACTCCCTCTGGTGCTCTCGGAGGAACCCTAAAGCCAAAGGTGCTTTGCAGACATGAACAGACAAAGTACCACTTTAAACTATCATTCCAGCACGTATAGGTGTAAATCATGAAGAAGTTTCTCCTCTGTCATTGCTGTGCTCTGCAGCTGGCCTGACGATTGGGACGTAAAAGTGACCTTGGCCTGGCCACTTGATTTCATTTATTAGACTGAAATGCCTGGTTCCAGGGCCCAGCGGATCAGGCTCTTGGCTCCTTCATGTGACTTCCAGGAGAACTTGCTGGTGCGGGACAGCTGAGCATGCCAGGAGCGGGTCCAGTTGTAGCAACTCCCTTGGGCATCAGTGTTGCTCTTCCTATAGAATCATAGAATCATAGAATGCTTAGGGTTGGAAGGTCCTAAAGCCTGAAAACTTCCTTCTCATGTTGAGCAGGGCCCCTCAGCTTGTGGCCCATTTTAGGGTAGTCATTAGTTTAGTGTCAACGATGCAGTGTCATGTGGAATATCCCCAGCACTCGGAATTTCCCCAGTTCTGGGGCGTTGTCTCTCCCCTGTGGCCTCCTGCTGTTTGGCTTCTCTGTCCTGCTATCCAGTTTATTGGCCAAGGCTGCTGTTAATGAGGGTGTGTAAAACAAGAGGGTTCTTGTGCTTCCTGTTCACCCTGGAGGGTGTGGACGCAGGTCTTGCAGGAACTTTTCCTTTGTGCTTGAGCTTGGGGAATGGGAACCCTGAGGATACCTGCAGCTATAGACCTCTGGTCTTGCGAGATGCTGCTGGGTGAAGCAGAGCACTTCTGCAGGGCAGTTACTTCTTCAGCGATCCTACTCCAAAGCCCATGTTCTTCTTAAAAAAAGAATCTAAAATTGACTCTGTTAATTTTAACCCTCTCTGCCCCTGAAATTGTGGCATTTTTAATAATCCAAATTAATACCCTTGTTGGTCTGGTTTATTACCTATTCTTGTGTTCCTTTGGAATGCTGATTCCAGCTTTGGAATGCTGATTCCACTGTGTGTAGTGGGTTTCCTACATGACAGTGACTGTTGTGGTTTGTGAGGAGAAAGATGTCGCCTACATCATTGCTACTTCTGACATCTTCAGTTGCATCAGGGTAAGAGCAGTGCAGATGAGCGTTGAACGCTGATCACTTTCTCTCTAGTGAGTGTATACCATTTTTTAAAACTTTTTTTGTGTGTTTTTATTAAACTGGTAGGATGCCAATCACACTTATGTCCACCAATGTCCTGAGATTCACCAGCATCTTCCTGACACGCCTGGTGCTCAACACAAACAGTTGTCAAATTCCTGTGGCTTAAGCTTTCTCGAGAGTTCCCGATCCAGTCTGATCCGCAGGAACCATCCCAGACCCCAGAGCTCTGAGCGAGTCGTTTGAAGACCTTGTGTCAGGAGTGAAGGCATCCCTCACTCCCCCGCCCTGGGGTGTCTGGGTATCAAT